GGTGACCTGTTCCAGTGCTTCACCACCCTCCTAGTGAGAGAGATTTTCCTTCCCTAGAGTTCCCCAAATCTCTGGCTTCAGCCTTGCCATCCATGCAGCATTACAGCCAGCTGTATTTCCTGGTAGAATTGTCATTGAAATGTCTGTCTCCCAAAAGGCAACTAGACTCAATCAGACAGACAGAGACAGCCAGCAGATGCCTGCCACTCTTTCTCTTCTAAGCATTGAGGTGGGCAGGGAGGGAGGGGTAGACTTTCTTGCCTTGTCCCAACCCCTTGCTATTAAGGAGCCAGAACCCTGCACTAAGCTTGTGAACTCTCAGGTTAGCCTGGGTTTTAGGGGATTTGCACCAAACAGCTCCAGAAGGCTAGGCAGGGGTCTCCTTGCAAGCCCTGCAGCAACATAATGACTCTCCATCTTGTTTTCAAGAAAAAAATGAACCATACGCTGTTTTGCTTTTAAGGCTGAACACAGAACAATGACCGCTTTCATTCTGGCTGTGATTGTCAACAACTACAATACAGGGCAGGTGAGTCCCAGCAGCCTTCATCCATCCCTTGCATCTCTTTTGCCCTCCTCTACACCGTAGCTTTGTTTAGATTCAGCTAGTCAGGCTTGCATCAGAGCATACCACAGGGCTGGAAGGAGGGAGTGAGAAGGTAGATTTCTAGACCAGTGTCTCCACCCTCCCTCTCACATCCACACAGTTGTCCTGGATGTGCAACAGAGATGATCTCTGCCCAGAAGTGGGGTTAGGGGGAAGCATCATTTGGCAGCAACCACTGCCAGGACATTATGAATGGAATCCTGCCCAGTTCTCATCAGCTGGAAGCATGGAGGTTTTGCTGTAAGTCTTGGGCAGCGGTAGGAATCCAAGCAGTTGAGTGAGCCATAAACCTAGGGACTCTTCCAGGTGCCAGGTGTTTCCACTGAGGAAAAGGCAGGTTTGCTGAGGGGTAGGAAGACTTTTGGATGTTTTTAATTATTTTGCTTCATAACAGTACATAGCTGACCTCTCCTGATCCTCATAAGACCCACGTGCAAAACATCTCTGATCATATTTTGCTAGAGCAGCACCTCACCCTAAAGGAATTTTGTCTTCCAGTAGTTCCCCTGTCTCGACATAACTTGGCTTTTATTGACAGAATCAGAAGCTGCTAGTCTCAGTGAATGGTATTGAACTGTGTTGTAGGAAGCCTGCCTCCAAGGAAACCTCATTGCCATCTGCCTGGAGCAGCTAAATGATCCACACCCTCTCCTGCGCCAGTGGGTGGCTATTTGCTTAGGGCGAATCTGGCAGAACTTTGACTCGGCCCGGTGGTGCGGTGTGCGAGACAGCGCGCATGAGAAACTCTACAGCCTCCTCTCGGACCCAATCCCAGAGGTACTGTGTTACGTGCATACATACGTTCTGAGCAAAGGCAACACCAGCCATTTTAAAACCAATTTCTTCAAGGAATCTCCCAATTGTATCAAAGTCTGGCTCAAAGCAGCAGCTCTCTGATATTTCCACAGATTAGGGGCATAAGCCATGACCCTCAGTCATTTGGGATGCAGGGTTTACAGATGTTCCCTCCCTGTTTGCTTCCTCCCATTTCAGAACCCTCCTGCCCCCAAATTGTGCCACACAGCTTGCTGTCTGTTTCAGACCATTTTCCAGTCCCTTTGGTCTGAGTTTGAAAAGCGTTGCCCGCGAGATGTAAAACTATGACTTTAATTGAATGTGTTTAGCCTTTATAGAAAGCATTCTCCCAGAAAGAGAGACTCTTGAGCAGAGCCACCCTCTGATTGACAGGGACTCTGCGACCCCAGGGGAGTTTTATTACCACTGGGAGAAATAATCCTGGAGATAAAGGGTGGTAGCAGCCTGCAGTGATTAAACATTCTTGCTGTGATTTAATGCTCCCCATGCCAGGTATCTGCCACCTCCTTTCCCTTGTCCCTATTCATAGAGATAAGAGTCTCACAAACAATCAGCGAACAGTGCTGACAGCTTATCAGCACCTCTGATCACTTTGCCAAAGGAGTTCAGAGCTGAGTTTGGAGTCCCATCCTCCAGAAATTGATAATACTGACACCATTCCCAGTTTCTGCCAAGGCAGGCTGCAGAGAACAAACTGGAACCCAGTCTGCTATGTGATGGGTCAGCCTGCCCCTTTTCCTGTTGTTTAGTTATCTGCACCTTTTTCTTTTGTCCTTGCACTCTAGTGCAAAGGGGACTTTGGTCCATCAGTAACTCCCTGTTCACATTGCACTGCTAATTAGCAGGTTCTAGCCAGTGCCTTTTGAAACGTCACTGAGGAGGAAGCCAGCAGGTGTTTGGAGGAGAAATGTATTTCAAATTGCACAAAGCTGGAAGGTGGCCAGTTGGATCTATTCTTCCCTTCTAATGGTGGGCTTCTCTCAGCCCCCATTACCCCCTCCATTTGCCTGATTCAGTAGGCTGGCTCTGGAGAGATTCCAGGGTAAGAGCTTGCAGCGAGAAGTGCAAAGCCAGGACCAGGTGGGAAGCCAACAGGTAACATTTGGTCTCTTACAGGTGCGCTGTGCTGCTGTCTTTGCACTGGGCACGTTTGTGGGCAACTCTGCTGAGCGGACTGATCACTCTACCACCATTGATCACAATGTGGCCATGATGCTGGCCCAGCTCATCAATGACGGGAGCCCCATGGTCAGAAAGGTACGGGAGGACGGTTGTGCAGGAGGTGGGAGGATCAGCAAATCCTATGCAAAGTGGAAGTCTTTGTGGATTAGGAAACATTTATTTGGTATGTCTTTTGATGCCTTGTAGAGGCGCAGCCATCCCCGGTGAACATCTTAGGGTTCTAGCTGCTGGTTACAGGTGAACAGACTGCCTTGTTTCGTCACCTGCATTGGAGTCGGGTGGTCCCTGAGAGCGCTCAAAGCCAACTCCCTCGTCTACGTGTGTACATACCTGCTCCCCCCTGCCAAAGAAGTTGCCTGGGCTAGTTGGACTCTCCCACCATTTGAAGTGGAATCTGTACAATGTGAGACCAATGTTACTGTGTACTTGCTCTCTCTGTCCCAGTAGTCTGTTTCCATGGGCTCGCCCTGAGGAACTCTGAGAAGAGTTTCCTTTAGCATGTGAGAGACTGACCACAGGGGCACCTCCATCTACAACTGGACACTAATGGCCCAATGGAAATACGTGGGTCTTCTCCCTTGCTCAGTGCTTTCCCCCACTCCTTTCCATTTGTCTTGTTTGCACCGAAAGTACTACCCAGAACCTACTGAGCAATTTGGTTGCCCCAGTGGGTCCTTCAAACAGCTCTGGAGCATTGTAGCTATTCATATGGTTCTGCTGGAAGTACAGAGCTTTTGTACATCGTGGATTTCAGAGTGCCAAGGCCTTTTGTGTTGATCACTTTGCATCTTCATTTCCCGGGAGATTTATATAAATGTCAGTCTCCTCTCCACTTCATGCTTCTAGCATGAAGAATAGTGTTAGCTGCTTTCACCATTCTGAAGAAAAGAAAGTTAGCCTGGCATGTAGATCGTGGTTTCGAACATCAAGTAGCCACAAGGGTGCTGGCTGGTAGGAGCTTACTTGATTGTGAGCCCAAGACTCTGCATCCTCTCAGCGTTAGTAATTCCAGTACCGTCACTCTCGAGCACTGATGCCATCTCCCATCTGCCCCGAATGTCAGAAAATTCCATTTCCTGCTCGGGCTCGGAGGGTTCTCTCAAATAGATTTTAATAGGCATGGAATTTCATTTGCTGTCTGATACAAGGGATCCCTTTTGAAGCAAAAAATACGTTGTACGTAAACACGCTGTATAACTTAATGACCAAATAATAAAGATCAGGTATTAAAATGGGATTGCTCGGACCAGAACACATCTGCCATTTAATAACGCACCACTGAGTCCACCTGACCCACCTCATTCCCTTAAGCAAATGTCTGAAACAGGAGTGCATCTCTTTGTTTGCCCACTGATCCTCTGAGTTTGAAGCCAGTGCTGTGGCAGGGACAGAGACGGGAGAGGAGTCACATTAGCACCTGGACTCCGGAGAATTCTGGCTGATTGCATTACATCCTCCAGACATGAGAGCTGCAGTCTGTCTCTGTAAAGCTCTTCTGTTTATTACTGTTTTGATAGCAAAGTTTTACATTACAGGACCTTGGGTTTGAAATAAAATATTAAATATTAATCTGTTACTGGAAACGTGAAGTGTACGGAAGCCCAAGGGGAAGATGCAGGGATGGGCTAGGGAAACATGACATCTCCATTCAGTAAAGAGACTGTGTTGCTTTCGGAAATCAGAAGGAAGGCCGGTACAGAGTGACTGAGTAGCATTTTCTTCGTCTCTTGAAGGTTACAGGTTCTCCTCCTCCATTATCTGACACGTGCACGTGAACTACCTATTGGGTTTCTGGATTGTTCCAGGCACAACCCAGCAGCCAGCCTGTCCCTGGCAGGATGCACTTGGGTGTTTTGGTTTTGTTTCATTTCAATACCAGTACCACAGCAGAGGCTGGGCTGAACTAACACTAAGAGGACATCTTATGCTTCAGAATATGTGGCGATGTGACTGCGTTTCAATGTATGTCTTCTTGGAGAGACATCAACATCTCCTTTAGAGACTAAGGCCATTGAAGAAGTAGCAGGAACCACCACAAGCCCTATATATCAGTCCTAGTTTCATAGCTGTTAGGGGCTGGAAGGGACCTTACAGATCATCGGGTCCAGCCCCCCTGCCCTTGGGCATGAAAGACTGCTGGGATCAGATGACCCTAGCAAGATGATAGCAGTCTGGCATGGCTGTCAGTGTGATCCTACATGACTGTCCAAGCCTTGTCACTCCTTCCCCCACCATCTCTTCAGGGCTCCGCTCTCTCAGCCCACTAGACCATGGAAATGGATTGGCGCTCCATTGCCTGGTAAGCAGTGCTGCTCCTAAGAGAGCCAGCATCGGTACCAGGAGAGCAGTGTACCTGGCTGCCTCCCCTGGCCTGACCGTGTCAGCAAGCTTAGGAGTACAGATGAGTTGGCTTCCCAGTGGCTCTGCAGTGCCCCCAGCAGCCCATTACTGGTGTCTCTTTGGTGGGATTTTGAGTGATTGTAACACAGGTAGCAGCTCCTTCCAGCATGTCACATGTGAGCAGACTGTGCTTTAGCCTTTGCCGTGGGGGGCAAGTGTCCTGCTCCTTAGCACAATTCATTATTGCACTGCAGGAAGCACATGTCTCGTGGGCAGGGGAGCAGCCGGTACGTGAGAGGAGAGTGCGGTGTCCTAGCCTCCAGTTCCGTACTTTCTGTGACACGACATCAATCTGACAATATCAGGCTGAATCAAAGAGTGGGGGGAGCAGGGAGCCTGGCCAGGAGTAAAAGACCTTTGTTGTGAAGAATTCATTTTGAAACCAAGCACTTTGGCTTTGCTCGGATCCTCACACTGGAAGAAGGAAAAATCAATGCTTCTCCAAGCCAAGTAGAAAAAAGTGCCCTCATCCTCTCTTGAGGTGACAGATGGGTATTAATTCTGTCAGAGGGCTGGCTGCACAGGGATTTTCTTCTGCCTTGTTTTTAAAAGCTAAAAAGATGCTCACGGACAAGAAGCTCCTTCTTGTCATGTTGGCTCAGGATAGAGGGATTCGCAAAGCTCTGCCCTTTTGCCATCCGTTTGCCACGTCTCCCTGGAGGGCCAAGGGGGATCGTTGTGTATAATCTCTCTGCTTTAGAGAAAAATGTGCACAGGCCAGTGGACCTCTAAATAGGCCAGCGGAGGAATCCTCCACACCTCTCTGCCTGTCTCCTGTGTTAGAAGCACGTTAAGAACAAACTCTACACCTGTATTGTTTTCCAGCACCATGCAGCGGTGAAAAGCATCTCAAAAGAAGCAAATGCTGTGTTCTTGCTGGCAGGTGACCTGAGAAATGTTTTTTTTTCTCTGTGGCAGCCATTTCTTTGGGGAAAAGGGTGATTTCACAGGCTCACAAGTGCAATCTATGAAAATGTATGGTAATTTTCTGTAATGCAGGATTATTTGGGGATCTGTCAGATTGGTGGGGTGTTCAGTTTAAGATGATGCACCACAGGACTCAAGTTCATTCAGCAGCGTTTTGGCATAACAGCAAGTTCTCGCGGGACAGATGCCTTTGTTTTATCCCCTCTGTATTCATCATGGTGCTAAGCACATAAAAAATGAATGTCTCAAATCTACAGAGTGGCTTGGAAGTACAGAGGCATAGGTTGCCCCCCTTCCTTCAAATGGAAAAGAGGAAGTCTCACAATAGGGATTTGTACTGTTGTCCCTTCCCTTCACCCCAAATGCAAGCATATTTGGTCCTGAGAAGCATTTGCTATTGAAAGAGACATCAAGGTAGAATAGTTTTGTGCAGCTTACAGCTGCAGTGTTTAAATTGCTGTTTCATAGACTCAGGTAGACTTTGTGCTGGTTCTGAGGCTTTCGTCAGCACCCCTCGATTGAAGCCCAGGGTTAGGGCAAGAATTCTCCACCTGATGTCGTCCCCCCGGCCCTCCATTATCTTTTGCTGGAGATCGGTTCTAGGCAGGGATCCATGTGACTGCTGTGCTTTATTTCTAACAGTAAATTTCATGTCAGGCTATCATTCCTGCATGGAGCAAATTGTTTCTGATGATAAAAGATACTCCCTGCATGTGCCATGAAAAATATACCCTCTGCTTTGATTTTTGGTTCTTGGTATTGGGCAGCCCAGGGTCTACGTGATGAATTTCTTTGGAATAGCTTGTTGATTGCTTTGTTCTCTAGCTGTCAATAATTCCCCTTCCTTGCTGTCAGTTGTTTGATTTTTGACATAGCTAATGGTCAGAGGTCTGTTTCTTCCCTCCTGCCCCCTCACAGGAGCTGGTGGTGGCTTTGAGTCACCTTGTGGTTCAGTACGAGAGCAATTTCTGCACTGTTGCCTTGCAGTTCATGGAAGAAGAGAAGAATTACCCTCTGCCGTCTCCTGCTGCCACAGGTACACCTTTTGAGTTCTAATAGGCAGGGAAATTTTGATCCTTATAAGTACCCAGGAGCCTCAGTGAAGGGAATTGACTGCATGGCCAGGTGCTGTTTTTTCAGATGCTGATCTGCCCAACAAACAGCAGGGCTATACGGTTTAGTGATGCTGTGGGCAGCCCTGCTGCCTGTTTGGCAGTGTGATACATTGGCCTGCAGAGCAGCATCTCGGGCAGGTGTCCATCTGAAAAGGCCACGGCGTGCTTCTGGCTTGCTAAGGAACCCTGCAGACTGAACTCCCAGCTGGCCTGGGCAGGGATTTATCCTGCTCGAGGTTGAAGTGTACTGTCAAGGCAGGGGGATGAAGCTGATGCTGATCTTCAGCTCCACGGCATATTAAACAGGTGATTTCTCTCTTGCGTGAGCTGAGGCTGCTAATGAGAAGTCTCATTGTTCTACAGTGAGCTCATCCTGCTGTGAGCTGTTGGAAAGCATCAGGTGAGACAATGGAGAACTTCACGTTGCAGTATCCTCCTGGAGCGTACCTGTGCCCTTTCATTTGTCTCTCTCCCTTTGTGCTTAATGTGCTGTTTCTTCTCACCCTTCTGCATTTGGCTTCATTTGAAGAATAAAAGGCCCTTAGAGAAATTGGTCCTGGCCTCTCATTTTTTTAGAGATTAAATATATTGGAAATCATCAGGGATAACAGGACTTTTGCAACAAGAGCTTGCAGGAGAGAATGTATACTCTCTCTGCAATGAGTAATTTAATAGTTCCTTTGTCTGGAGCAATGAATCATATTAGAAACCCAGCTTCCCCACATTCCTCCCTCGGCTGCAGAAAATAGTCATCCCCTGCGATTATATAGCACTTTTCATTATCCGGAAGGATCCCAGTGTGTGCTACAAATGTGCATGCTGTAAGCAGAGCTTGCATCACTGAGACGGAGGCATGGCTGTGAGGGAATGAACTAGGTGGTCTGCAGCCCTGACACAATCCACAAATGGTTAGGAGTAGAGGTGAAGGGTGGCTTGGTCGGTTGAAAGTACAGGTCTTCAGTGGATGGGGTAAGATTTGAGTCGAAGCCAGAGCTGAAGTTTGGCCCAAAAGTCAGGAGTTTAATAAACTTTTATTATGAAAAAAAATGCCACCAGACTGTTAATGAACAGATGCAGTCGGGACTTAATAGCTTAAGTGTCCTCTACATGACCGCACCTGCAGCAACAGAAGACATTAGGACCAGGTGTGGGCACCAGTCCAGCATTGGCCTGGAGGAAAGAAGCACCTTGTTTTTCCTAGCTGTCTGCAGGGACTGACAAGGCTTGGTCCTGCTGAATTTATGGGATTTAACGGGACTCGAGCCCAAGAACTTGAGGCCTTGTTCTTTGTGTGGAGGGGGGATGTGGGCACCCCAGCCCTTGGTCTTTACTCACTACTTTAGAACAGATGGCAGTAACTGAGCATCCTTCAAACCAGTGGTTTGTTTAAATTGAATTAATTGCTTCCTCTGATCACAGTATGTTGCTGTGGCGGGGCTGCTCCCTTGTGATTCTGTGCACAACTGCTAAACTTTGCCTTTGCAGAGGGTGGGAGCTTGACGCCAGTCCGAGATAGTCCGTGCACTCCGCGACTGCGGTCAGTCAGCTCCTATGGGAACATCCGAGCAGTCACCACAGCCAGGAACCTGAACAAGTCTCTGCAGAACCTCAGCTTGAACGAAGAACGTAAGAGGACTCTGGTTTCTTTTTCTTACCACTTCCCTTGTGCGAGGTTTTATTTCATTTGGTCCATTTGCCAGCTCTGAAATTCTGCCACCTGAAAAGCATCAAGGGCCAACTAACCATTATGGCAGGGCATTCATCTGCCAATCCTACAAGGAGATATGAGTATCCCCAGCCTTTATTAGTATTAATTTTATAAGCTACAGGAGACCAAGCAGGGCACCCTCCTGAGGCACAGGGATTTTGTACAGACTGCATCATTCCTGGAACCTGACACATAGCCTGTTTTTGAATGCCCAGTGTTCAGAAAGTAGGGTTTGAGGATATTTTTCCTACCCCTCATCTATTGCATGTCGCAGCATTGGTAACAGTGCCCAGGTAGCAGAGCACTGATGGTTCTGTCGCTAGCACTTGATTTCATGTCTGTCTGCTTCCCTTTTGGCAGCCGGAAGCTCTGTTGCCTTCTCTCCGGGGAATCTCAGCACCAGCAGCAGCGCCAGCAGCACCTTGGGCAGCCCTGAGAACGAAGAGTACATCCTGTCATTTGAAACCATTGACAAGATGAGAAGAGTCAGCTCTTATTCCTCGCTGAATTCGCTGATAGGTGAGCGAGGACTCTCCTGCCTTTCCTCCTTTTCTCCTCCTTTCTTTGCCCTCTTGTGACCACAGCATTGCAGGTCAGGAAAAAGCCCTAATGCGTGGCTCCAGGAGGTGGTACTGTAACAAGAATTCTCACGTTGGGTAAATGCTGTCACTGTGCCTGAGCAGGTAATATGGAGAAAGGGCAAGAGGGAACTTAACCTGAAGATCTGTTTGGGGAAACGGGATCAAAGAAAAGAAAGAGACCATGAGCAAAGAAATGGAGGTGTTTAGTGATGAAATTCCTTTTAAGGCTTTGCAGTGAAAAGGTAGCACCCCTGAGGATCTTATAGCCACTGCAGTTTCACAGAATAAAGGATGGACAGGGAGGGTCCTTATCCCATCGACATGATAGCTGGGCTCCTTGCCACTGGCTTCTACCTTGTCTTTGATTTTGTTGGAAGTTGTGCTTGGTTTGTTACACCATTTGCAGTAGTCTACAGGCAAGCCTTTCCCAGTTGATATTTCTGGTGACTATGTGCATGCATGTGCAGTTTTAAATTGAGATGAGAAAGGAGAAGCCCTGGGCAATGTCTTAATTGCCTGAGTGCCAAGCGAGCAGACCAAGTTTGGTGCTTCGCAGAAGTCCATTTTGGGCAAAGAGGACCAGAACTGATCCCTTTCCATCCAGTCCCATCTGCATTACTTCCTTCTGGGAAAGGTAGGAACACCACCTGTCATGCCTATTGATCTCCTTCGCAGCAAACACTAAACTATCCCGTTCTGCCCAGGAGCCTCGGCCTTTTAGATAATACCTGTAATGCAGAACAGAGATGTTGGTGCCTGTAGCACACGGCTGATTTTGCATGGGAGATGCAACCCAGCATTTCCTCTGTAGAAATGAGTAGGAAGCTTTTCAGTAGACTAGTTCAGCTCTTTGACTATTTTTTTCTGATAGCATTTTCCAAGCATACCTGATTGATCTAGCAGCATTTTTTCTTTAACTCGGCATCAGCTGTCTAATGGGCTAAGAACCTTTCCAGTGAGACAGAAAGGAACAGAGCCAGCTAACATAGAGGTGACCCAGGTTGGAAACATTCCCTTGCCCAGCGGACTGGAGAAGACACTGTACATTAGACAAAGGACAGGGAAGGCTCAGATCCATCCATGGATCTGAATTATATGGGCCCCCAGTCATGCCTGCACCTTGAAAAGTCCCTCTCACCTGTGGTCTCATGGGGGTAGGGTGAAAAATGTAGCAGTCCAGTGAATGCAAATCCTGCATGCTGCACTCCAGGACCAGAAGGATTTGGGGATCACACTGATAAATAGATCTAGTTGACCATTAACTGGGGGCTGAGGGCCCCCATGGCAGGTCAAAATTACTCCTTTTCCATCTTAATAAAGCGCAGTCATTAAAATCCACAGCCCTTGACACAGACTGTTGACCCTGGTTCTTTCTGAGGAGGCCTCGCAGGCGTGCTTGAATGCTTCCACCCGTATTAGACTAGGACCTCAGCTCCCTCCTTCTTCACGAGCTCATCCCCACCCTTCCACAAGAGACTCCTGCTGCCTGCTTGATGGTTTGTGTGCATCTCAGGAGAGCTTTACAGCCTAGCTGAAAAAGTCTAGGAATGAGCTGGAGATGAGTGAGGGAAACTTAAGAAAACAAAAAAGCGGTGCTCCAAAGCCTCCCTCATTCATATTCAATCAGGAAGAGCTCATATCCAGCAGTAAACGACACAGCTTACAGAGGTGTTTAAAATTCATAACTTACACAGAATCCCATTACCTTCAGCATTTGCGTGTTTAAAGCCAGGGGTTTTTCATTCTTGCTAAAGGATCGCAGTCTCCCAACCTGCTCCCAAAGGGAAGGTTTCTCAGCGTTCCTTCAGCTCCGGCAGTAGATCCAGGCCGGAGTCGTAGTGTCTCTGCCTTGAGCTGGCAGGACAGGCTGGGACCAGCAGCTCCTCCTTTTTGCTTTAAACCCACTCCCTGGGCACCCTCCAATGCTCCAGGCTATTTTGGGCAGGCCGCCTTCTAAAACAGAAGTGGTTTGGGGTGGGAGGGTCAAGTTCTTTTCATACCCTCCACTTCTTGCTCTGGCCTCAATCTTGTATCCTCTAGGCTGTGTCAGGGGAGTGGGGAGAGAGAGAATGATGGTGGAATGTAAAGGTCCCTTTTTCATAGATTTCACAGACATTAGGGCTGGAAGGGACCTCGGAAGATTGAGTCCAGCCCCCCGCCCAAAGGGCAGGAAGTCATCTGGGGTCATAGGATCCCAGCAAAATAAGCATCCAATTTGCTCTTGAAGGTGTTCAATGTAGGTGCTTGAACCACCTCCGATGGCAGGCTGTTCCAGACCTTGGGGGCTCGGACAGTAAAGAAATTCTTCCTTACGTCCAGCCTGAAACGGTCTCGCAGTAGTTTATGACCATTCGACCTCGTCATCCCTTGGGGCACTCTGGTGAGCAAACGTTCCCCCAGATACTGGTGGTCACCCCGATAAACTTATAGGTGGCCATTGTCTCTAGTGGGTTATGGAATAGAGAAAGATCCCACACAATTTACTGATTCGTTTAATGCTCCTGGCTGGGGGCGTATTTGGTTGATTGCACGATTTCACAATGATTACACGCTAAATTCATACAACACAATTTTATTTTAAAATTCCTTGATACACATATAACACTGCTTAGCTCTAAGCAATCCTTCCCAAACAATGCTATAAGAATTAGTCTTACAAAAACAACTACAATTATAACTAAAGGTTAACTTGGAATCACTACTATTATTTCTCATGGTATACTTACAGTCCTAGAATTCCGAGAAACCAAATCCCCAGATATACTTTCATCTTTAGTTATGGTTTTAGGGTTGGTCTCAGCAGTGATAGGAACAAGTCCCCTTCCTTCGGTCCCACTTGGGCACTCCACGGCTTCAGCGTGAACTGGAGTTCTTGTTCACGGAGAGGGTAGTTCAGGTGATCAGTCTGATCCGGCCTGCACTTGCGATTCTTCCTTCAGTGTTCTGCAAGTGAGGTTACCTCCAAATTGGGGCTGTAGGTTACAGTTTTTATTGGGTGAGTTGTCGTCTTGGGCCTCTCCTACCCAAACCTGTCACTACTCCCAAATTTGGGCTTGGATCTTTCTTAACAGATTTCAGCTGGGTGGTCAGTTTGTATTCTTTGGGAAATTTTCCACACCACTGTGGTGACCTCTCTTCCCAACACCCTTTCAAAAGCCCCTAGGTTTTGATCTCTCAGAATGTTTGCTTAAGGGTCGTTTTTAGGTTAACTTTGTTAAAGGCCTCTAGAGATAAAATTCAGAACCAAGACATTCAGCACACAGGCAAAAACAAGCAATGAGCCTAGATAAGAAGATGAACCTTGCCTTTTTTCTAAACTGGCTAATGGGTATTTATTACAAGCATTCAAATTATTACATTCAATATGACAGCCATCAGATCACCCCGAGCCTGCGCTTTTCCAAGCTAAAGAGCCCCATGGCTCTCAGCCTGTCGTCGTCTGTTTTCCTGACCTCTGATCATGCATGTGGCTCTTCTCTGGACTCTCTCTCAAGCTTCTCCACATCCTTTTTGAATTGTGGGGCCCAAAACTGGACGCAGTAGTCCAGCTGCGGCCTCCCCAAGGCTGAGTACAAGGGGAGAACGACGTCCCGGGATTTGCTTGAGAAGCATCT